ATATCTGTTTTATTGACAGACAACTAGGTTACTAAGTTAAGTACTGACCTACCACATCTGCCATGAGCCCTGATAATAAAAGCACCAGCAGATCTTGTGCACAGAGTTACTCTTACTAGAACAAGGTCTGCTTATTAAATGTTTAGAATAAAGTGTCAGCAGTAGCGCATATCAGTCAAGAAGGGGTTGTTTTGTTCTTTTTACAGGAAAGTCCTACATATTAGTTAAGTAATATATTGGGGAAGTGGATGTACAATGGGATTTAGCAGTATTTTGAATGAGACCAGCAGAACCAAGTCAGAAGAGAAAGTCTCTCTAGCATACTGTTAACAGTGCCAAAAATAGATCAAGSCTTCTTCCTTGCCTTGGTCAGATGCTTTTATGGAAAAAAAAATGGTTTATATTTCATGTGATTTTTGGCATAGACCTTGATAGACAATTAAACAACTGATGCACACTGGATTGCTGCAGGTTCTATGTGATTTTACATAATTAAAGTGAATGCTTTACATAAGTTAAATTAAGTAAACCTAAAATAACTTGATGTAGAATGTATTTTACTTATTTGACATTAACAGTATGCAGAAAATTACCTCATGGAAGTAATGCAAGTTAACTTATTACCTTTCTTACACTCCTGTTTTCTTACAATATCCAGTATTCTCAAATTTCTCCTATATTTTACCTGCACTTCATGCTATCAGGTCTGGATCTTTGGATCTGTGTCATTGTGAACAAAGTTTTCATTGGTCAATTGATTAAATAAGTTCAATTAATATTAACAGCAACAGGGGGTGAATTCTGCAGGGTCTTCCTGATAACACTCCGTGGAAAAGAGCCAAGCAATGTGGGCTATTGGCCATATTAAGAGTTGGTTGGTGTGAGACCCCCCTAGGGATGAGCTTTCCCTACCAATTATTTTGCCATGCATATGTCAGAGACTAAAATACATTTAATCTCAGCAAGTCATCCACTAGCAAAGAAGCCTTGTCTCAGTTAGCAAATCARTTAGGAATATTCTGTAAACATAGAATAGCATGGAGTACCACTGCTAGGGAGTGATTTGATTGTGTTGAAACTGATGATTATGATAAAATGACAAAGCTGAGTGTCCATGGGTAAAAACAGGGGGAAGGTCATCAGGGCAGATATCGTGGTGGGAGTCTGTTACAGACCACCCAGTCAGGATGGGCAGGCAGATGAGGTGCTCTAAAAGTGGCTGGCAGAACTCTCATGGTTGTCCTTTTATTTGTGTATCACTTCAGCTTGCCAARTGTCTGCTGGAAATACAACACAGCAGAGAGGAAGCAGTCCAGGAGGTTCTTGGAGCGTGTGTAATGTAACCTATTGACACAGCTGGTGAAAGACACTACCAGAGGATATGCCCTGCTAGACCTGGTTTTTTTTTGGTTTTTTTTTTTTTGGTAAATGTGCTGGTTTTGATGGGAGCGGAGTTAACTTTCTTCACAGTGGCTGGCATAGGGCTGTGTTTTAGATTTGTGCTGAACACAGGGTTGATAATAGAGAGCTGTTTTTGTTATTGCTGAGCAGGACTTGCACAGAACCAAGGCTTTTTCTACTTTTTGTATTGCCTTTCATACCACTACAGTGTGAGGACACTGGGGGTGCTTCACACGTTGGGAGGAGACACAGCTGGACAGATGACCCCAATTGCACAAAGGATATTYCAGACTGTGTGGCATCATGCTCAAAGTATAAGTGGTTCTGCTTGGTTTGTGTGCATGGCTTTTGCTTYCCCTATTAAACTGTTGTTATCTCAGCCCACAAGTTTTCTGGCTTTTACCCTTCTGATTCTCTCCCTGATCCCACTGGTGGGGGAGTGGACAAATGGCAGCAGGYGCTTGGCTGCTGGCTGGGTTAAACCATAACAGTGAGCAGAGAAGGAYTAGTGGGTGATGCGGTGGTCAGTGGCTGTCTTGAGTAGAGAGACCATGAAATGTTTGAGTTTTCAGTACTGGGTAGAGTAAGGAGGGGCACCGACTTCCAGCTGGCAGACTTTGGCCTGTTTAGGACATTGATTGACAGAGTCCCTTTGGAGTCAGTCCTGAAGGACTAAGGACTCCAGGAGTGCTGGATGGGCTTTAAAAAGGAATTGTTAAATATTCAGGATCAGGCTGTCCCCTGGTGTAGAAAGACAAGTTATCAGGGAAAAAAGCAGCCTGGTTAAACAGAACACTTAGGGAAGAAAAGAGAATCTATCATCTCTGGAAGGAAGGTCAAGAGAACTTGGGAGGACTGTATGGATGTTGCAAGATCATGTAGGGAGAAGATTAGATGGGCCAAAGCCCTACTAGAACTTGATATGGCCACAGTTAAAGGCAATGAAAAATGTTTGTATAAATACAGTGATAACAAAAGRAGAGTCAAGCAGAGTCTTCATCATTTGTTGAATATGTAGGGAGTGTAGGARGAAAAGGCAGAGATACTTAATGCCTTCTTTGCCTTGATCTTTAATATCATTACCATTTGTCTTCAGGATAGCCAGCTTGAGAAATTACCAGAGCTGGAACTTGGTGAAGCCCTCATAGTCCAGGAGGAGATGGTTAGTGACCTGCTGTGCCAATTAGACACTCATAACTCTGTGGACCCTGCTGAGATCCACGAGGGAACTGGTAAAAGAACTTGCCAACCCACTCTCAATCATATATCAGCAGTTTTGGTTAATTGAAAAAGTTCAATCTGACTGGAAATTAGCAAATTAATGCTCATCTGCAAGAAGGGTTGGAAGGATGACCATGGAAACTATGGGGCTGTCAGTGTCAGTCTTGCCTCAGTTCTGGGCAAGGCTATGGAAGAGATCCATAAACCTCATCACATGGCACGTGCASGACAACCAGGGGATCCAGTCCAGCAAACATGGATTTGCAAGAAATGGTCCTTCTTGACCAACCAGATCTCCTATGACAAAGCAGCCTGCTTAGCAGATGAGGGAAAGGCTGTGAATGTTTTCTATCTAGACTTGAGTAAAAGCATTTGACACAAACTCCCACAGGATCCTCCTGCTTTTGACTTGGACGACTGGACTCTTTGATGGGTAAAGAACTGCCAGGATGGCTGGGCCCAAAGAGCGGTCATGAATGGAATTGAAACAAGGTGGTGCCGGTCACCAGTGGKGTTCCCTAAGGCTCTTCTTGGGATGGCTAGCTTTAACATCTTTATCAATGGTGTGGATGTTGGGCTTGAGGGCACCCTCAGTCAGTTCGCAGATAACACCAAATTGGGTGTGAGTGCTGATGTGCTGGAGGGCAGGAAGGCTCTGCAGAGGGATCTGGCCAGGCTGGATCATGGGCCAAGGCCAAGGGTGTGAGGTTCAACAAGGGCCAGGGCCGGGTCCTGCCCTGGGGTCACAACAACCCCAGGCAGTGCCACAGGCTGGGGCAGAGTGGCTGGAAAGCTGCCCACAGGAAAAGGACCTGGGGGTGCTGGTGACAGCGGCTGAACATGAGCCAGGGTGTGCCCAGGTGGCCAAGAAGGCCAATGGCATCCTGGCCTGGATCAGCAATGGTGTGGCCAGCAGGGCCAGGGCAGGGATTGTCCCCCTGTRCTGGGCACTGGTGAGGCCACACCTCAAACCCTGTGCCCAGCTCTGGGCCCTTCACTTAAAAAGGTCACTGAGGTGCTGAAGTGTGTCCGTGTAACRCAACACGTCTTAAAAGCTTTAGAACACATCATATGAGGAACACTTGTGAGAGCTGGGTTTGTTTAGTCTTGAGAAGGCTCAGGGTGAACCTCGTTGCTCTCTACAAYTGCCTGGAAGGAGGCTGCAGTGAGGTGAGRGTTGATCACTTGTGCTGTGCCTGTAGTCAGAGGACAAGAGGAAATGACCTTAAGCTGAGACAGGAGAGATTCAGATATTAAAAAAACTTTTGTCACTGTTAGGATGGTCAGAGATTGAAACAGTTTGGCCACAGAGGGGGTGGAGTCACTGTCCCTGGATGCGTACAAGGGACATCTGGATCTGGTGATGTTTTTAGATGGTTTAGGAGTGACAGGGGTAGTGCTGAGAGGACAGTTGGACTGGATGAACTTGAGGGTCTCTTCCAACTTTTACAGTTCCATGACTCTTTAGATGTGACTGGTCACAGGTGTAGTTGTAGTCTTGTTTGATAAGATGCTATGCAAGGACCAATATTTTACTACACTAAGCTTTTGGTCTTTATTTGAAATTAAAGTATAAGCAGTGAGTGGACCATAATTTACAGCAGCCAAACATCCTGAGAAAAGTAAGCTTTAGGATGCAACTCTTCTACCTTTACCCAGTTTTTGTGAAATACTTGTTTTAATCTTGGGATCTAATAGTCATTTTGATGTTCTGTGATCTATTGCTTGGTGAGTCTTCCCCCATTAAAATAAAATTTTGCCTTTCTTTATATGAAACATAATATGAAACATATATTGTGTCTGCAATGCATATTAGAGACCCATGGAATATATGAACTGGTAAAATTAGATCTTCAACTATGTTTTGTGAAATTGTTGAAACATATAACACATTAGGATATYGCAGAATATTTAAAGCAAAAATTGCAGAAGTAGGTTCTGCTGGTACCAAAATGACAGCACTAATTCCTGGAGGCCAAAGTCTGCATGCTCCCTCACTATTAACTGTTAACCACCTAAATCTGTAATGGGAAATTACAGTTAATATTGAAATGAATGTATTACAGTCTCTATTTACTGGGAACATGAGCAACTCAATTGAACTGACACTTAGGTGAACCGTGCCTTGGCAGGGTGGGCRGGAATGGATCATCTCCAAGGGTCCCTTCCAACTCTAGCAGTTACATGATTTTGTAATTCAAAAGACTTGTGGTTTTGGTCATCTGAGACACACCTGTTACTTAGTTCTGTTGTTAAATAAAAAATGTGGTCTTATTTCAGAGGCATAAGTGAAATAATCTTTTCTCTCAAAATCAACAGCACAGCAGTCCAAAATAGCTATATAAAAATGAAAGCAATTCAGATATATTTGTAACAAGAAAACAAATTTATTGATTTTAAAAGACAAGACACAATTTTGTTTTGAAAAACACAAGAAAGCTAGCCTGAGTTCAAGTCTGAAATATTCAGAAAAATCCTACTGTCTTTAGTATGTTCCAGTCATTTTTTTATACAACACACTAAAAGTTAATATATATTTTTATAATTATAAAAGGTCCCCAGTTATTGTACAGTACACAATACAAATTGCCAACAAACTATTATTTAGCTCCTGCCAGTTTTGAGAGGACATTATATACTAAAAGATTTAGCATTTGTCACAAAAATCACATCAGGAAATACGTATTTACAAAATCAAATACATTATACAAAAAAAACCATCACGTTATTCTGTAAAGATGTCTTCTTTAAATAATTAAAAAGTATATTCAACTGTAGCCCAAAAACTGGAAAAGAACATTACATTATCTCACACATACAATCTACAAAAAGTTGCTTACCTCATTTACATAATATATTCAGTCAACTGGAAAATAAGAGTTTGAATGTGTCCTAGTGTTATGATGTTTCTGTGCTGTGGGACTGGATAATGTAATCTGCCACTTACTAAGTGAAATTTAAATGATGGCACTTAAAAAAAATACAGTATAAAATAAATGCAACAAAGGAAGTTTCCTAGAAGGTACGAAAGCCCTGAGTGATGATAAAATTACTGATTGGTAGCTCTAGAATTAACCTAATTAAAGTTTACCACCTCAGGCACAATTTTCCAAGTTTTTGAAAGGCACTCAAAGTTTCTTTAACAGCCTCATTGGTTATTAACTGTAAATCCAAATTTTCAGTGGATATGAGTGGAGATGGGCAACTTGCTTTGGTACAAAGTGGTATTTTCCCAACACTTTTTAAATTGCTTTACTGGGTTACTTTAAGATGGGTATTTAATGTTTAAATACAAGGCAGTCACTTTAATATTGTACGGAAAGAAACCTTACTTGGGGAACCCATTAAGTATTTTTTGTGTAAAAAACTTTTGCTGGTATCAGTGAGTCAAAAAGAATTGAACTGAGTTCCTGTTAAAAACCAATCCATTCAAAGTTGTTCCTCTGAAGTCTACATTATTTCTAAAAAGACATTTATTATTTCAGAGTAAAATTAATCCAGAACTGAAAATTCCTGTAAGATGTTTGCACCATAACCAAGAAAGTGCTTAAGAACATACAAAGAACATCTTCCTGAATTAGTGTTAAGTGAGGCTCATTTGATGCTCATAGGCTTTTTCTGGGCCTTTTTTTCTACAGCGAATTTCAGCCTTAATGAGCAATCTCCAAGAACAATTCTTACCAAATATTAAACTACTCAGGGCTTCCAATCCCAAAATGCCAATTTATTTTTTTCAACAGGAAAAGGGAAAAAAATCTGAATAAAAGAAGAGTTAAAATGAAGAGTTTTCAAACTAAGGCATATTTTACTTCAAACAAACACTAGGCAGTCACTTTGTAAGTGGCTTTTACTATTTCTTAGTTAAATTGGTAAATTAAACTCAGGTCTACTGGCACATAAAATCACTAGCAGCAATGATCAAGGCATGCAAACTCAGAAGCATTTACAGTAAATTATGAATAAAAAAAGTTGTTAAATTAAAACCCTTTGAGTATTGCATTTATGTTAATTAATTATGCATTAATTTGCATTAACTGACTAAAAATGTTTACAACTTACTTGCACTACACTACTGACGTAATTCCCTTAAATAACTTAAAATGGTATCCTTTYTCTTTGCCTTCAGCTAAACATAAAAAGTTCAGCTGCTTTAGTGTTTGCTGACTGATACTGCAAGAAACCAGTAAAAAATGTACTGTATTCTCACTTAGTAAGGTGGCATCAGTATCTGTAAGTTATGCTTGTTCCCTTGTTCCTGTAAACAGTAACTGTAAGAACAAAGGGACTTCTAAAAATATTTGCTCGTGCAATTTCTAGGTTGCTTTTAAGGTTCTGACATTCAATATGGGCTAAACAAACTGTACCTTGTATGTGAAATTTAATAAAACACCTTCATCTTCTAGCTAGTCATTATCGCAGTGACTGAGTTTTAAAAGGAATATCACCATAATTGTGCACTTTTTGTTCCTGTTTCTCACAACACTGCCAAAAATTTCAATGCAAACACATCTAATATTCTGCAAAATTTATTATTACTAAACCTTCTTTTAATTCTAAAGATTTCTCTTTTACAGTACCAGAGTATTCCAATACTAATCTATCTCAGATTTTCAAAATAGCTGAATATATTTTCTAAACCTTTATCTTCTAAAGGCATCTTAAAGTAGACAACTTCCTATCTGTAGAATCATGTTTGATTTTCTTTGTATATATATGCAAATATGAAAACAGGGAGCTGAAGTACTGTTTTCTATTAGACAGTACACATCAATGGCAATGAATATTTGCCTACATCTACTGAGCCCCCTATTAATAAAAAACATCCCCATATAGTATGCAAGTATTTACTTTAGACATAATTAAAAAAAACTTTACAACACTATAAGCTATTTCAAAGTATATGCTCAGTGGACTAATTAAATTATCTAAAAATCTTTGTCCCCATCATGTTACTTACAATGCTCAAAGGGTTAATGCAAGGCATTATATCAAATTAATTTCCTAATACTAGAATTAAGCACTGTGTGTTTATGCTTCTATTCCAGTTTTTATTGTCAGTGTTAAATCATCAAACAAATTAGCAGAGATACTAGAATGCCATGTATCAATTTGCTTTGAACCATATACAAAGAGCATGTCCTGTTASTCTGACAAGGGCCCAATTTTCAGAAATTATTCTTGCTCTCTCAAATTAGTATTTTGAACTCTGAAATTATTGTTGAATACTTATATTACTAATAAATCTAGGGGTTTTGTCAGCACGTTTATGGCTCTCAGTGGTTGGTTTTGTTTTGTAAAAGCATTCTGAATTAAATTGGATTGCAGTGCATCTCTAACATGTTTTGTTTCTAAACAGTGCAGATGTCAATTGGTGAGAATGATAAAAATATCAGATCATTTTTCCTAGGGAAAACAAGTTTAAAGAAAAAGTGTTTCAGATATTTAAAAATACCTCGCTTTAAACTAAATTGGTATATAGACCTATGCATTCCTGAATGACAGAACATTATTTTCTTATTTTTTGAACTAAAGGCAGTAATGCTGTAAATCATAATTTTATAAGTGAATAATTTAACATCTATTTTCCAAATCTTTATGGAACTTTTTAAAAATGAAGGTGCTTAGAACATGCTACAGTACAAGAGGAAAAAAGTGAAAAAAAGGAAAAAAGATATTTTAAAACTGATTTACCACAAGGAAGATGAAAATGTACCAGAACATTTTAACAAATATAAAACTTTTGAAAATTGGGCCCTGTGCTTTGAAAAGGTAGTTCAACAAGACTTCTTCCCCCACACTCTTCACTGAGCTATTTGTGCTAATGGGGGAAATGACTCTAAAACAATTATTCTGGATTCCATTTCAAGATTAGATAAAACACATAAATCATGTCAACTCTCCTAATGTCTACCCTGTGGATACATGCTACACCTCTCCATAGCATTGACAGCAGTCTTCAGAGCTGGTGTGGCAATGCAGCCGCACACTACATGTTACAGAATACACACTGAGGTATTCATATCTCTCTACTTCAATGGTTACTAAAACCCAACTATTAAACAGCAAGAGTGTGCAAAATGTTTTATCTAAGTGTTTGATTAAAATTTCAGCAAAAAACAAAACAAAAGACYTCCAAATCTCTAAGTTTACAACACAGTAAACAGTTGCTCTAAAAAATCTGGCAAAATCTTCAGAATTTAAAGATAAGAATACAGACTCCAGTCAGTTTTCTGAACCTGGGATATTTCCAATTTCTTTTGACAACTTCTTGTTTTTAGAAGCTATGAAATACATTCCATTTTTTGTATTCAGATTTTTGTCCAGTTTTTTTTTTTCACTTTGTGACAACTGAGTGGAGTGGGGAGCTAAATAATGAAAGATACTGAAGTCCCACAATATTTAGCAAACTAGATTTACGTTTTACAATTGTACTTTTTTCTCAGCAACAACAAATTCAACATCAAACCAATAAAGGATAAGAATAAGAAAACACAAACCAACACAAAAATTAAAACAAGTACTACAGTATTAAAAAAAAAGCTGAAAATGAAAAAAAAGTTGAATTATTTCACTTTATTTTACTTGTAAACATCTTATAATGCACAATGAAGGGGAGTAAATATTTATCACAGCTTAGTTTTACCATTTTTGGTGAAGGGTACAGATGTGCTGATTTCTAAGGAAAAATCAGGACACACTGAGCGATATATGTGACAACAAAATCTATAATGAGATTCAGTGCATTTATGAGTTTAGAAATTATGAATATAAACCTCACTTTTACTTGTTACTTAGGCAAAAGCCATCTACTGACATTAGTAGGAATTATGCCTACACAGAATGAGCTAATGGGTCCACAATTCTGCAAAGGAATTAAAATTTATTTTTGTGCACCAGTAATGTTAGGACATTTTAGTTTATGTGCAGCTGTATTTGGAGCATATGTAAACTCTAGCAACAAACTTGTTTGCTATAAATACACTTCCATTTTACATGCTCTTCTTCCATTTGGTATGTAGAACTTTAAAGTAATTTTCAGACACACTAGATAAACAAGAATTAAAAAATTGTAATTTTTTATCAAAGACTTTTCTGTAAAGTTGATATTTTTGTGGTTTTGTTCACTTTTTGGCTTTTTTTCTTATGTAATTCCATTATTTTAGTGTAGCGAATTCATGTGTCTGCATAATGAAATGTTTGTGAAGAAAAACTCGAGTTCTTTAATGTCAATTAATATGGTCTCTATAAACTGATATTATTTAACCCTTAAGATGTAGTATCTGGCTGATACACCACAAAATATAGAAATTGAAAACATGCACTGCATTATGTACCTGCTCATTTTTTTCTTTTTAGTTTTTAAAATTAAAAGTAGGCAAGGGTTTAGAAAATATATAATCATGCTTGAGACTATGGTCAATCTATTTTGACATTTGAAGTTGGTATTAAAGCTAGTTTTGCTTTCCAAATTCCCAAGCAATTTTATTTGTATTAAAGTGAAATCCAGCTAGAAACGAGAAAAAATAGGTCTATTGTCATTCTAAGAGGGATATTAAAATCATTTAATAATAAAAAAATCTTTTTATTCTTTTGAAGGCTATGTAACCTGTCCTTACTTCTTAGGGAATTTGAAAATGACAGGCACACCTTGTTGAATTAATTTAAGAGTTAAGAATAACAAAAAGTATTAAGTCTTAGCTTCAGTTCTGTTTAAGGCACCATGTAATAGCCGAGGTACAATGATCCCTGATGTACATTCTTAAATGGCAATGGTCCATCTAGCCACCTATTCAAATTATACACAATTGGGAATAAGTACAAGTGAGGTGTGCCAGTTACACTGCCTTGTCTAATTTTTGTAAAAATTTAAATCCACTTTAACAACAAGGAAATGTTTTTGAAAGGAAAATGATGCAGGTTGCTACATTCCTTGCATTCTATAAATCATCTTTTCTAAGAGCAGCAGATTGAACCACTAGTAGGAAAAGACCTGGAATAGAAGAAAGTCATCCAAATGGAATGTTTTCCTGTATGTCCAGTTCAGCATAAGTAGCACATACACTTAAAATTAACAATAATCAAGTCACTTCTTTAGCTTCAATTTCTAACAACTACAGTGCYACTGAACAACCAAAAGCATTTGCTCAGTGGCCTCACATATAGAATCAGTAGTCTTCAGAACAGAGGAACTGGTATGCAAATAATATCTGAAACTGTTGATTTTAAACGAAGCTTGCATTGTTTATATCATGTTCAGATAATTAGGTACATTTATGCCATACAGATTACCACATTCTGTTACAATTCTGTCATTTAAATAGCTTCTTCCTCACAGAAAGAAACTAGGAGATCTTCTCAACCCTCCAGCATTATTACAAAAAAATCCCCCTGAATACTCACAATTTTATCAAAATAGTGTCTTCTCGTAGTACGATGAAAAGCACCTTTTATAACAAATTTGATACATCTGCTGTCAAATAAGTATGCCTCCAGTGTAAATCAAAGAAAATAGTTCTTTTGATATTTCACAGAAGTGCATCTAATTAAAAACCTATCTATATGAAATCAGCATAACTAATAATTAACATTAAAATATTTTTTAAACTATGAAAAAATTAAATTATTGTATGAGGACAAAACATTAATATTAAACTTTGCAAAAATCTTCCTTGCATTTGATACAAAGAAACCTCTTCCTATCAAGCGGCCAACATAAAATGATTAGTTTACAAAAATTTTTTTGTTTTTAAACAGACCTGGCAAAATACATACACCCATTCCATTTAACAACTCCAACAAAATAATGATCAGAACAGTTACATTTGACAACAGTCAACCTTCAGACTTATTTTCTTTTTTTTTTCATAATAAACCTAAGCGGCTAATGCAATGGGGCGTGTGTCGGAGGCCAGGGGAGGTTTCACATTAGACTGCAGTATATGTATTTCCAGTAGCACTGCATTGTCTTATAGTCTGAGTAGTTGCAACAATGTGCTCATTRTGAATTGGGTTCAGGAGGTTCTGCTGTACTCCACTCTCAAGCACTGGCTGCATGCAGCCCACCTGGAATGCCTGGTTTAGCTCAGTTTTCTCCCTCTTGGCTTGTGGTTCTCCACTTTCATCCAGCTCTTCATCTATTTCACTTTCAACTTCGCTGCCCTCATCTGCACAAAGAAACCACCATGTAACTACCACAAAGGGTAAAGTTTCTAAAACAAGGTTCTTTATTTTGAAAATAAATACAGGGGAACARTCTGATAAAGCATAAACTGTAAATTAAAATTTTAATGGAAAATCATCAACTGTTATCTCAGACTCAAATTTGATCACTTGAACTGTTGATGACAGCTCTACTGTTGATTTGGAAAAAATAACTGCAATCTCAAAAGTCTAACAAACATACTCATATTGGAAAGTGCCACATTTTCTAAACACAGAACAACAGCTGTTACTCTAAGTTACAGACACGAAAACTGAGGCAAGGAGAGTTGTGGTGACTTGACCCCAAATTTTGACATTGTTATATTTACTAGTCAAGTGTTCTATGGTCCAGTCACCCCAAATCAATCAAGTGGTCAGTATAAGAATGCATGTTAAAACAAGGCATGATGAGATTCTAAGGCACTAATTTCTCCCTGACTACTTGCATACAGTTCTGCTTCTTAAGTTAGCACATCATTCACTACAGTTCATCATCCATAAGCATACTCTTGTTTTTCTTCCCACAGCTGTTACCCTCCTCTGGCCTATTAGATACAACAACATTTTGCATAAAAATTGGAATATTTCTTCATGACAATAACAAACATCTTTAAAATATTGTTATTTTAAAACAAACCTACAATATTCCAGGCATTTTTATATGTGACATATTACATACATAGCTATTGTATTATATCAATGTATCCATACAATATATACATGCACTTTAGAGGATGATACAGCTTTAAATTCTGATGGACTGTGTTGCATAAGGATTTGTTTTGCTCAGAGACATGTTAGCTCTATGCAGAATTATACCCTGGAAATACTAAAATGCTTACCTTTATCCATATTTCCAGGGGACACAGCATTTAAATCACCAAACTGCAAAATAAATAACAAAAACTTGGGTACAGTCTTAAGCAAATATGAACTTAGAACATCTGTGATGTAGGAAATCTGTGCTCCACTGGTTGATGGTAGCATTCAAATGCATGATCTTAAATGCAGCCACATCCACAGCAGAGCAATTTCCCATTCCATTTCAGTCTTGTGCTTATTAAGACAATTATCACTAAGTAAACCCTCAAAAACAGAATGGAGTAGTACACCCTTTTTTAAAGATTGCTTCATCAAGGCCTTTGTTGTTTGAAGTGAGCTATTTCTGTGGTTTAGAAAGCCATAAATTATAATAGATATGCATTCTGAAGTGCCAATATTTTAACAAAAAGCTCTTTTTAAAATTTCCCAGGCACCATTTTAATTGTGTTGGAACAAAAATGAAGGTGTGTCACAGTGTTGCTAATCTATCTGTAAGTAGATGAAAGGCACTGCTGAGAAGGGTTTATAACATGATAACTGATTGACATCAAAATCCAAACCTTTTAAAAGAAGCTGTGTGTAAGTTAGAAACCTTCCTCCCTCTCCTTCCCCCATTTCTCTTATGTGAAATTCAGAAGAGCAAAATGCCACCAATGGATACCAAATGCAAGGAACACATTGTTAAGACAGATACATTTCTAACCATAAATGATACCAGTCTCATCCAYAAGAATTTTGCCAATACCTGTGTCCACGGGTAGAAGAAGAAAGGAAAAGTATGAGAATGCTTTTCTCAGCTGCAACCAATTTATACTGCTTTACAGTGTTTGTTGGACTGTAGTCTTCCTCATTTTATTTCAGTCACAGCCATTGAATAGGCAGAAACATAAGAAGACATGCATTTAATGCATTACTTCTATTCTGCSCCTCACCTCCAAAATTTTGCAGTTCTTACTTCCTCATAGTATTTCAATCTTCAGTCTAGTAAACTTTTTGAAGACCCTATGCTACATTTATGTCTAACATATGAAGTCTGCTGCGACAAGAATGCAGTAACTGTGTACTTGTGTAGTAGTTTCTGCAAATGTAAGGCAAGAAATATAAGAGCATGTATACTGATGGTGGGTCTTTCTACCAAGTAGAAACATTATTTCATTCTTCTGAAATGCGTCATGACACATGATATAAAATGATTTGACAAAGAAAGCTGAGACATCTTTCAATTTCCCTTGAAAATATATAATCTATTTATAGCATTTAATGAGCATATCAATATATTTTGTGGGAAGAATGACAACTGATGCCAAATCAGCTGGAAAAATTGCWCTTTATAGGTAACACAGAACATGATACAGTGACACTCAAGTGTAAAAATGTAACAAATCCATCCTATTTGCAATTTAGTGTGTTTTCAAATATATCCATTTTCCAGCACTTTTGAAAATAAATCCTTTGGTAACAATTCATGCTTTCCTTACTGTCTGACTCAACATAAAAGGTCAGATGAACTACTAGAAAGAAGAGATCTGCCTTTTAGATGCCATAGATGAGTATAAAAAATTGTTATGAATTGAGACTTCAGACCTGTTTTTTAAACCAATAATCTTTGAAACAACAGTAGAAAAATTAAAGTATTGCAGAGCTCTATATATGTCTGSACTGGTTTTGTTTCATGTATCTGAACAATACTGTACAAGCCAAAATTCTGCAYGTAAACCAGCCTTCTTAAGTCAAAGAGAGTATACATTTTGTTGGGAATTCGGAATGTGTGCAAATGCATGGAAACAGATCCACAGAAGTAATGCTTCCTTATTACTGTGCTCTTTTTATTTTCACATAAAATATTCAGCTATCAAAAACTGGAAAATGGTTCTATGTTGATCACCATTTTACAAACTATGCACATGAATTTGTGTGCAGATTTGTCAAAGAGCAAGTTCATTTAGAAATAACTATTATTTAGAATTCAATATGATTTTAGTACTCTGACAATGAACCAGTGAAACAAGATTGAAACTACTGTATATATTAGCAACTCAGTTTATTTTATCCTGCAGATCTTACCATTCTACAAACATGCTTAAAAATTTGCAAAAACATTTTCACCAATTCATCACTAAATCTATCAGTCTAGTCTCTTACACATTATCTTACCTCTCCCATAACTGCAATAGGTGTCTCTCCTGTTGCCTGAGCAACACGATGTTCTACTAAGTAAAACATGTATTCATCATAAAGCAAGCGGATCAGATGAAAAGAGCCAAAGCTAGCAGCACTGCGCAAGGTTAAATCCCGAATCACCATTGAGCTATTTGAAAATAAAAAAAAAATACACGTTTATGTATTTTATATCACAGCCATTTTAACATTTAACCATGTAGACAGAAGTTTCACCTTAAAACCAATATTCTCAAAAGCAACATTATCCACAAATGTCTGATTTACGGTATCTTCAGGAAAAGATGACCAGGAAAGGGCAGTCACTGCTTCTCTCCTTTCTCCAAAGGTACTGCTGGACACCACGTAAGAAATAACCAGACTGGTTTGGTTTTGGTTTTGACCTATGCATAACCACCAATAACTGAGCAACTGTAAAACTTAACTTGAAAGAAACTTTGTTGAAATTAAAATGGTAAGAAAACTGTTTGATTTTAAAGAAGCTGTTGCTTAAATAGTGTCTGTTGTGTCAATCTTTCCAGGACAGATTTAATTAATTATTWAATTAAATTAAATTAATTAATTAATTAATTAAAAAGCAAATTATTTAAACCGCTTTGAAACTTAAAATTCAAAAACAACAGACTTGTGTGTTCATACTACATCAAGAAATTTTGGTGTCTTCAGCAAGCAGTTGTTCAGTCGTGTTCAAAGAACAAGGTTTACTCTGATAACTGTTTCAATAAGCAGCTAATATGGAATGCCTGTCTTTTCACACATTAAAACCAGCTTTTGTCTTTCTCACTGAATAAACATTGATGCCACATTGTTGTAGTAAGTATTACTAAAAATAGTGGTTTAATAATTGTGTAGTTTTTTAAAATTATATGTCCATTCATTTTCAGATTCCTTTAAAACAATAAACAAGGATCATTTAGGTGCTTGTAATTTGCTGATATCCCTGAGGTCAAGATTCATAACAACAGTATCTGAAAAACCCCCATGTTTTCATGATGTACTAAGCCACTGTTTGATTTTACACTTGCAAATTCAGTATGGTGCAAAACTCGGCAAATAAAGGTTAGAATGTTTTAAAGTCTATTAAATACTACCTGTAGAAAGACCATTTTAACAGAAATTGCCGTGCTGCTTTAGGAAAGCTGGGTCTTCCTTCATACGGTTTCAACGCTTGCATCATTACATTATCAAGCCAGGCAGCCCACTGCTCCAGAGTGCTCTGCTGTTGAAGAGTCATCTTGAAATCGGTTTCCAGTCTCTGAACCATGTTGTCATCACACTGGCACACCCAGGAAGCCTGCTCCTGTTATAGCACATGGCAGCTCTTGAATTGACAATACATAAGCCAAAGCAGAGAATGTAATTGTATCTCAAAGATTAAGCTATTCAATGGATGAAAAGGACAGTACCTACTTACTAGACATACTCAAAAGTAGTTATTTTTATGTCTATCGTAATTTTGTTGAAAACAAATAGGTGGGAAAAGCATAGCATAAAAGAACAGACATCAAGTAAAGAAATCAATGAAAAACAATGAAAGCAACAAAAGTTTGTTGTGCTGTCTCACATTYGTTTGCAAAAAAAGGCTTCTACTTTCATCATTTTTCTACTGAAATACTTGTAACTTGTCATTTTTTCTGGGATTTCGGCAGGGCAAGCAGAAGAAGAGTCAAATGTGAGGGGCTAAAGTAATAAAAGAAGTAGTGAGAAATCAAGTGCAATTTTCCTTTTTTTCTGAAGAAGTTAAGCTTAAAGAAAAATCCTGTTATATCATTTTATAAAAGAAACTTTGTACGCAAACCAGGATTGTTCCGTTTGCTGACGCTAGACAGTAATAGATTACACATTACTTAAAGACAACATAAGCTGCACACAAATGGAGAAATGCTCTATGCATGCAATAATCAGCAATTTAGTCAGTGTTACCAAGTTTAAATAAAGCTAACTGTTCAATTCAGAAAATGAGAGCAGAATGACAGCTCACTAACTTCAAGTCATTTCCATTTAAACTCTAGCTGTCATATGCCAAATTAACACCTCATTCACAGACTCTCTATCCATATCAACATRTTGCTGTACTTAATATATTGTATCTTTGGTCAAGATCTCCTGACTGACTTCTGTTAAGAATATTAACAAGAATGTTAAAACATTCATTCACAAAGGCAGGACAGAAAGAGACAACTAACAGGAATCTGAAATCTTTGACTTTGCTGGCCAAAAGGACAAAAGCAATTTTCCTCAGACAAGAGGCAGAAACATGTAGAGAAATTGAGCTTAGTAAAAATATGAACTTGGGGTGTATAGGTTCTAACCACACTAATCTAAGCCATTAATCAGCAGATCTTGTAAATTTAAGCACAGGCACTTAGATGAAACATAATAATGGTATGGGGTTTTAAATAAAGGAGACATGAAAATGCTGTGGATTCARTAACTTTAACAGTCATTCAGCATATGGCACTGAGCCTTTCATACTTATGGCACCAAGATCTAATTGTAAAATATTATTTTTGCTATTATTGAGACACAATTCATGGTACCCATTAAAAGAAAGTACTTGCTCTACATTTGCATAGCAGTTGGAAGAGTATGTGCACTTAAGGACAGTAAATAGAAACAGATAATGGTTCTGAGCTCTTACTCTCCTAAAGCATTAGCTGTCACATTTGTACTGAATCATTGAATATATGAATGAACAACATATTCCCACTTTATTTTCTTGATAGAATGACACCTCACAGTAATGCTCAAAACCATAGACGAAATAACACTTGAAAAATCCCTGCTATTCAAAACTAAATTTTACCTGAACATTGGCAAAATCAACACGGTTGAGATCATTGAGCATCTGGTTGATTTGAGAAGTATTTTGAAGCACAGCACGAGCTGCTTGAGCCAGGTGATTAAGAGATGTGTATCTTCGCAGAGTCTGGGCAAAGGCACTTACAGCGGCAACCTATGAAGAAATTTATTTTTAAATATTGTACTCCATACATTAATTCTACAGATCAAATCTTTACTTTCATTTTAATGGTTTATATTAATGAGTCCTCATATTTGAAGTACACCACATAACAGACCAAATAATGCTATTTCCTCTCCCATTATTTGATGCTTGATGCTAGACAAGAAATTYAGTATTAAAATTACAATGCTTCTCCTTTTAGATGCTAATGTCCGCTTGGTTTGCCACTGCAAGAACAATRCTGCAACAGTTTCATCTACCTTGGTTTGTATCATCCTCTGTGGAATATTGTTCATGGCATTTGAAAGCCAACCTTCAAGGCTTTTTGCAAAATTGCGAATGGCTTGGGTCAAGGCACCTGTGCGTTGAAGAATAAAAACAGAATGAAAAGAAAGCAGTGCACCTGTCTTGMAATGTTCTGTGTTCTCAGAACTCTTGTACTCATCAGGTCTGTTGCATTTAGTTATTAAAAGACAAATCTAAACTAGGTTCAAAATACCTCACTCAGATAAAGATTACACAACAATGATTTTAGTTTTGGTTTAGTAAGCAGTTATGATTTCTTCATCAGTCTTGTAAAGAAATTTGTGACTAGAAGTATTATTTTGGGCACTCCTATAGAAGAATAACACTAGTTGAAGCAGTTGTTAYGGAAGTTTCCATCACAAACTTCCAGTTTTCCATTTTATCTAACCACCTCTTTTAAAAAGCAAAAGTTTGGTGAAAAGTTCACTTATACTGCAGTTTCCTCAAGTAAGTCCAAAGTAATCTCAAACCATGTCATAGTGCTGCATAATTTAGTTTTAAAGAACTTAATTCCAACATGGAGTGCTTAAGGATATCATCAATAAGCAAGATATAGGAGTGTGTTCCACTGACAGAAAGTGAAATTATTCAAATGACCATGAAATCTGTGTGCTTTTTGTTTCTTTTCTATAGCATCCAAAGAAATGCTGTATGGCTGACAGAGATTTAGAGAGACATTGAAGAAGACCCAACTGTAATCTCTTTTACTAAAAAAAGAAGTTTTAATTTTTCAAAAGAGGAGGACAGGAAGTATTGTCCCACGGAACTGTACCTGGAAAAAATAAAATCTAATCTTCTGAGTGAAACTCAGCTTTCCCACACCTAACCCTTGCACAGTGACATAACAGCACAACACTGAAACTGCTGAAGACTGCTGAGAATGAACACAACTACAAATATGAAGAGGAAAACACACAAGGAAATAAAAYTATTCTTTTTAATAAGACTTTTTCAAAAGAAAGCTTTCTACCAGAAAAGTAAATTTATTAAAAGACAAACTGTATTCTTTGCGATATCTTTTTCACAGTCTTCAAAGCTGCAGTCATAAGCAGTAGAATACGTATTGGTAATGTATATGACTCACCAAGCCTTTGAATGATTAGCTGACTACMATTTGGTCTTACAAAGTAGCTGTGTTAGCTGAGCTCTCTTATGGTATCAGGTTTTTTTTCTCCTTTAGGGTTTACACGTGGAGAACAACCTTTTTCTCTTCAACCCTGTTAATCCCCTAGCTTACTTGTGCTGCTTTGTAAATTATTTCTGTGCACTTACTAATTGACTATGTATTCACTCACATTTTCTTACCTACAAGACAAGATGGAAGTAATAATGTAAATACTGTATGAATGGTACTTAGGCATTTAAGAAAAATATGACTACTTTTTCACTTCTAATGTTCTCCTTACTCTTTTTCACCCAAATATATATATTGCAAATTTATTTGCATCACTGTAATGCTGGTCTCCTTTAAAAATTACCATGGAAAACAGTTCAGACCTTTAAGAAAGGCTTTTAACTAGTAAGAAAAAGGAACAAATACAGGATTTCTAAGTTCTGAAGAAATTAAATAGCTAAAGTAGCTAATCAGACATCAGTATTGTACAGAACGACTGTTAATCTCTAATGAGCTTTGGAGATGTATTAAACACAGAATTTTTCTCATACTCGTATCCTTAAGCACACATCTAGCCATTACCAAAACCTTGAAGTTTTAAGTTCATCTGAACATAATAAGCATGGTGCAAAGTAAATGGCCTTAAATCATTGTTACTAGTCACACACTAAATGATGTGGCAATGGCAGTTATCTGATTTGGATAAGCACCCAAAAAGCTTCACTTCTCAACCAAAACCCCACTGACTTGTATAAAACTGAGCTTTACAGTCTTTCCAGTACTTCAAGTTTTTGTCTGTCTGAAATTGTATAATACGCTGTGGAAGTGTATTTTGCATAAATTCTCCACCTATCATCGAAACTAACTCAAAGCAAGTTTGCTACTGTCCATTCTGTCACTTGTGAAGATGCAAGATGTCCATTGTAAAACATTATAGCTGTAGTCTATTGCCAAAGACACTAGATAATTACGGACTTTATTCCTGACTCCAATGGATAGCATTTTACTTTTCTTAGGAAAAGAAGTGCTTTTYATATACAGCAATTCTTCACTCATTCTGTGGTGCTAAACATTTCAGCTGACAAACTTAATACAGAGATTAAAAATAAATTAGTTTTTTTCTCAAGAAAGGAAAACTTTTTTTTTTTTCTGCTGAGTAATATGTACCAACAACTGGGCAGCACAATATGACTTGTCTAAAAGATAAAACACTGAAGATCTAGAAAAAAAGAACCTTGAAAAAACATGCTTTCTTCAAGCMCCTTTCAAATTAATACTTTTCCATATTCTGAGCAGAAGCTGCTGCTATTTTTCCATTTATTCAAGAAAAAAATCATAAACATGCCTTTAATTAAGCATTTACAGTCCCAGCTTCTTYGCAGAGTCCAAACTTTCATACAAACTGCGGCTGATGTCTGCTTAATTTGTCTGCTTCCCTCAGCTGCATTTTTGTCATATTCAACCTTAAGCCAACCTCTAAGTCTCTTGTAATGACTGAAGATGCTTTYATTCAAAAGCAGGAGTTTAAAAATATCATAAGATTGTAACCATTTAACAGTAAGAAGAAACTTGGATGGCTCAGGAAAGCTGCTACAGGAAAGCTGCTACAAAATGCCATTTAGTTAGCTGGTCCTAAAGGATAAAGTAAGAAAATACATTAGATGTCTTCCAGAGATAGCTCAGTGAGTGGAATTCTGAGCAGAAAAACACTGGACTGTTCATAAAAARGAGGTAGAAGTCTCTTGGGATGAATTTGTCCTAGGGTCAGATGATGTCTGAAATCATCTGTCTGAAAACCATCCCCAAAATACGAATGTAACACACAGTAGGTATCAATTATTCAAATAYGACTGGTAATTATAGAAAGAAAGAAATAGCATGAAAAGGACATGATGCCTCTCGTTATTGATATTCATTGACTGTGCCCCATTTTCTTGAGATCCTGTATTGGCAATGCCCAATGCATCTTATGAAACAAGGCAGGAAGACACCAGGAGCTGTATAGCTGTCATTTAAACACTTCTCTAGAGACTGCCAGATGTTGCAGGAAAAGAAAGTGAAAAGTAGAGGAGCAGAACCAGTTTTTTATTCACAAAKTAACTTGCTTTTGCAAGTGAGAGTTTTCATTCAACCTATTAAATGTTGTAATTTAATTTGTGGGTTTTTTATCATTGCCTAGCTGTTTGTGATATACTATATTACTCTAAAATACTACTTAATGGTATTGTCAGTGAAGAAGTAAAACATTAAACATAAAACAATGCAAAAGAATTTACACAAGTCATACCTATCAATAATTGCATGTATTTGAAAACGTTTTTTTCCTTTAATTTGTTACATAGATGCACAGATTATGTCAATTACTACCAAGGACTTACTTATTCCTTAAAAAAAGTAAAACATGCTTTGTAAATGGCAAACCATCAGATTTCTTTTGTATTATATATAATTTGGTAAAACCTGATTTTATTCCCTTGGTTAGCAAGAAGTCAATAAAACTTAAGGCACGACCAGCAAATATTCTTATTACTGCTGGAGTCAGCATAACAGAAGTGSTATTCACAGCATGACAATACAGCTTTGTCACCTACCAAACTTCTTAAGCCCCTAACTTAAAAAAAAAACAACATACTAATCCAACTTTTTAAAGTGAATGCTTTTTTTTTCATTGCAAGGAGCTAATATGTAGGAGTTATGAGGTTTATAGTAGGTTGCTAACATGATTTCTTTATAATATTTAGGACAGTATATGTGAGACAATAAATATTTCATAGAGGATCTCAACTATCTTCACATAAATTTGTTTTCTACCAAAGACAGTGATAAAGATACACTGGTTGAGCCATGATGMATTCTAGTAAAATTAAATTTGAAAAGAAAGCTCTTCTGGTAATGGTGGCATGACTGGACAAGTACTCCTTCATAATAGAAAAACCAGTAGATTGGAATAATAAATTGGAGTGGGAATTTTTCATTGCTTAAACAGTCATCAGACTTGACTTCAGCGGTCAGGGATAAAAGATCAAACCTCCAAACATGGAATCACAAAGACCACATTTCTCTTCCAGATTAATCAAAGATTAATATGCAATGTTCAAATTGAAAACTACTGAATTTAGTAGTAGTGCACTAGCACACATTGCCACGGGGCCACTGTGGCAATGTTCCCTCTATCAGCTATCCTAGAGCCAGGGTAAAAGGAAAACATTTTTACCTGAAGATACAACACACAGAAAGAACTATCTTTGATATGAAACTGTACCTTGAAAACTAGATCTTYCAAGTTGCAGAGTACAAAGCATATGTAAATTCTCAGCACAACTCTTTACACAATGCAGCTAAGGATAAATGATACACAGTACTTCCATAACTTTCAAACTTCGTTCTTAAACAGCCCTGTGAGGCTGTACACTTCCACCACATACATGTTTGCAGGAAAATCCTTACAAAATGTTTCAGGCRTTCAACTTACTAGGAATAGGTCTAAGGACGTCAGGAATGAGAATCTCCACCAAAGCCTGGTACATCACATGGTCACAGTTACACATCCATTTCAGRATAGACTCATTCTTGCACAGAGTAATCAGCTTTGCTTTTGGAAGTCGACTTTCTATTTCACTCAGATTGCTGGTGTTAAAAAAGAAGTAGCAAATTATTCAATGATAATGCATTTATGGCACCTGGGGGCATGGTTAAGCAGTTAACACAGCAGTGCTAGGTTAACAGCTGAATTTTCTGACCTACAGTTCCTATGATTTCATGATTTACAGCAGGTAAAAACCKGCTATGAGTGTTAAAATGTATTTTTTTTACAAAAGTATCATAGATGTCTCAGCTACACCCAGTACGACTTATTTACCTGTTGTGTCATATGGAAATGGATTTAAGAAATGTCTCCATAAGGCTCCTACAGCTCATAAACAGTGCAGACATATGGATGAACCTTTTGGCTTAAAAGAAGTGGAYCAAATATTGGAAAGACACATCTTTACTGTAGTTGTCCATACAAAATATCCCAATGGATGACCCAACTGTTTAAAGTCTGCCCTTTGGCATACACCCACACTATAGAAAACTTACAGACAACATAAACTTAATTTGAAAAATTATCATAGGAGAAAAAACTATTACTATTAAGTTAAAACTAATATATTTTTTTTATTTTCACACTTACATTATCATGAAACACATTAAACAAAGAGAAACATTCACTGACCTTGGTTCATTAACAGGAGTGCCATCAGGTGGAGCAGAAGGAGAATAGCGCCAGAAAGTTTGCCACAATTTTTCTATCAGGCTGAACTGAAGATTAACAACCACATCCAGTATTGCCTGAGAAAATAAAATATAAGATCATATTGTCTTTTACCCAGCTTCCCTCCACTCCCAACTCCAATTAGATCTAGAACTTTTATTCCTTCATCACACAGTGGAACCAAGGCAAACTGTACATTTCTGAAGTTATAAATGGTATCTGTTTTAATATCCTTGATATCCATAAATTAACTAGCACCATAAATTGTTGCACACAGAGACTTGCAAAAGGCTTGCATGGAAACCTTCAGGAACTAGCATAGCCTATGCAAACATATCAGAGGAATTTAAGCACAGAAAATATTTATTGCTACTGCCAACAAAAAAGTAAGCCTGATATTTTATTCATTTTTGTAATTCCTTATAAGTTGGAAGCACTTTCAAAAAAAATTTTAAAAGAAATATTGTTCAGTATCAAATATGGCTTCAATGTCTCAATGTTTCTTTGAAATGAGAAAAAAATTACTGCTTTTAGTATTAAAAATAAAATAAACTAACCTGATTTACATTTTCTATGGATTAAACAAAATACCTGCAAGCATAGTCTAAAGTCTAGCATTCTGAGAAACAAACCTATAGCATTTCATTCTCAGTATCTATTGCATATAACTCTTCCCCTGTAAAGGGGATCCTCCAGCAAACCCTTTTTGCTATCCTTTTCAATGAAGTAAGTAAAATAYACAGGGAGAAAGCAACTATCATGGCTGCAATATATTTGGTACTATTCTCTTGTAGTGGCCTCCACTAAAAGTCAAGAACTTTAAAAAATAAATGGTTTGTAAGAAATACCTCACAGTGCTCTCGATAAAGACTCTGTAGTGATTTGATGTCCTCAAAGGTAGTACCATCTGGCAGAGAAGATATTTCAACTTCTCCAAACTCTGGCAGTACTCGAGAYGCATCTGTTGTCATGACAACATAATAAAAGAGGTGCCAGTTACAGCATGATTAAGAAAAAAATTAAAGAATTATATGAAGAAATAAATTCCAAAAGGTCATAATATTCAAAGAAGAAAGTATTTAATACTTGTTGCATGGGAAATMATAAATAAATTAATAATTTTATCAAAAAAATATACAGAATTATACTTGAAGTCATTAAAATKATGTCACGTATACTACATATATGTAGAGAAGCTAACACACACTTTTTCAGACTCTTATAGGGTGCAAGAAAATATCTAAGTCAAGGCAGGAGAGACTAACGCATGAGTTGTTTTTTTGTTGTTCAGCTGAAGATTTTCTATGCAGCCAGTTGTAATGGGGCTTAAAAGACTCAATATACATTTTTACTAGATATAATGTACTATATAATTTACTCAATATACATTTACTAGACTTTCAAGTGGACCCAATGTGTGCTTTTACTATTTGTCACAAATATTTCCAAGAGACAAGCTGGTAAGACAAAAATGCTGGACTGAAGGCTACCTGGAAAAGAAGATTCAAAATATTTTAATACTACCCTTATGCTCCAAATGGCTTCAGTAAAAGTAAAATCAGGCCAAAGGATTTTGTGGTTGAAAAACTCAACCAAATAGACCTACACTAATAGCACAYTCTATCAGCACAGCCAAGGACTCTTCTTACATAAACAATTAACTAAATTATGATTTGTTTCCATTACTGGAATACATGCTTAACTGCATCAACAAATCCACTGTTTGGATATTTTCAAACATGACCTTTGGGGTTTCAGTTRAAACTATTTATCTCTTTCCACTTACAACATTAGAGGACACTTTCAAAACAGCCCAGGGGTGCCTAACCTGCCATAGTAGTGTAATGCCATCTTCCTRCTATGACCTCTATGAAATAAAATGCACATGAAAGAAACAACTTTCATAACAGGAATTTCAACACGCACATTTAATATAACAATGCAAAGCAATTTCATTTATGTAATATGATGCATATCTCACCCTATTTTTTTATACTTACATGATGCATACTAAATATTACATAAAGCTCATGTGTGATTTAAGTGCCTTTATGTTCATTTGTGAGTAAGGATTTTAAAGAGGGCATGATAACTTCAGAAGCAAATGTTGTACTTGTGTGGCTTGATATTTGCGGTGATAACAAAGTTCATCTTGTTTATACAGCAATATAAAACCTGCTTTCATACCTAGAAACTGCTGATGATGTTGACTTTGGGCAATTACAGTCTGTTCAACAGATGTGCCTGTCTGTTGACCACTTCCTGTGAAGCCATCTGCAACCCCATCCACTTTCTGCATAGGCTTATACCTGCAAAAATATCAAGAACAAAATTATCCTTTCTATTCACTTCTTCATAAATGGAGCATAGAGTATGACTCTTCCATCTCAAAATTTTCAGGACAAGCAACAAAATAATTTAGAGATTCTTACCAATTTTGTAAAAAACAGAAGAAACAACAACTAAGGGAAGCTAGAATACCAACAATGCATTACAGAATTCACAATGGTAGTATCCCAGCACCACTCCCAATTTCTCATAGAATTTGGCTTACTAACAGCCTATTGTAAGCCCAGAAAATTTACACCAAAAAGAATCAAATTCTTTCCTTTCCAAATAGCCTGACATAATTTTGTAATTCAAAGATAATGTTTTATGGCTTTATGAAGAAATAACATTACTKTCTGAGGGGAACGAAGACTTCAACATGAGTATTTTGGGATAYTGAAGTTAGGCAAATAAAAATGGTGCATGGTTGCCAAGTTAAGAAAACGAATGAAGAAAAATGATGTGGGGCATACATTCAGTCGACAGCCTTTGCTGAGGAGGACTATAAGCGTTCATCCAATCAGATATGTCTGACAGACATAGAAAATTGGTATAACTACCCAGAAAAAAAGTATATTGACTGCAATTTGCCACTAATTTAATAGAAAAAAAGAACTACTCGGAATCTTAATAAGCTGACAAAAGAGCAGTATTATTATAATAATGAAAATTACAATATTCAGTCCTTTAGTTCTCACTTAATAAATCCTGCTATRATTTTTCAATACACTTGGATAACAATGATAAGAACACATACTGACATACATGAAACACTGATGTTAAATACTAAGCCTTCTCTAGCACGGTATTTTTAATGTAACAGCTACCTATTGAGCATAATGGTACCTTGCAGTTCCCATCCCTCATCAACACATTTACAGATTCTTGCAGCAGAGCTTAGGATTGGTGAGAATTGAGCAGGTACATGGGTGCATGTGCRAAACATGGGGCACAGGAGAAATGTGCACTAACTGCACACAGTGCCAKATACTTGAATTTGTCCAGCTATAATCAAGGAAGATACTGACTTAAAGTTAAGAAAATTATGCCAAACATATTTAAGTAAGGAAAACAAGGGAACTGTGCAAGACACATGGTGCTGTTAAATAAAATAATAAAATAAATAATACAAAAAGAAATATCTACTCCTAGCAGTTATATAATGAAATTCCAAAATTACTTTGTCATTGTGAATCAAGGAGAAGAGATGTAACAATGTTTAGCTAACTGGCATCACTTTTCCAGAAATAATTCTAGTTAGACCGTTGTGGAATATGTCTTGGTGCACATATGTTATTTTGAATGCAAGTTAATGAAACCTCTAAGTGAATGAGATTGAGTGGGTAAAATAAGCTTTCTTGGAGATTTTGTAAGTACCTATCATAMTTTCTTACTTATAATCTTGCCATGATTTTTGTAACAAGAATTTTCTACATGATATATTATGATATATGTTATGATATATACATAGATATATTTATCTATCTATATATATACATCACATGCTCCTGTATAACACTCAGCAAAAAAGAAGTTAAGACCATGTATCTTACCATGAACTTGCATTTAGTGCTGTAACTACCTCTGGAAATKACAGTAAAGACATTTCAGAGAAAAGTGTTCTTTATTTTTGAAGTTAAAGTTTGAAGTTGAGTTCTCCATATCTCAGTTGTGTCCAAGGACACAAAATATTTTTGGTACACTATACCAAAATACTGATTTTTTTTGGAAGGTCTAAAGTGACTTGCTTGATATGCTGCTCTTCTACCTGTAAATGCCATGAAATTATGCATCTAACGTATTTACTTTAGGGTAATATGGGAGGCTAGTAGCATCAGTCAAAWAAAAATTAATCTCAAAGAAGTTTACTAATTTTCATTTTCCCCCCTAAAATTTTCTGTTTAACCTAGTTTTTAATATGTATATTTAAACATTCTTTCACCACCAGTACACCCCTGTGCCACTGTTTTTAATTACTTCTGAGCTTTCACAGGTTCCTCAGGAAAAACAGGCACTAAGGAAACATACTTAACTTATATCAACTYAAAGGCAAACCATTGTGGCCACATTAACTTTCACAGAGAGATGAAATAAATACTAAGCAACTTAATAGGTAGTTCTCTTATAAATGATGTGTACATAAAATACAGAAAAAACAGGAATATTTGAAAGTCAAGTTCTTATGCTTTTCTTCAGCTTATGGGACAAGAATTCAATACAGTTAAGAAGAATGTTCATATTATAGGTCACTTTATTTATTTTTTGCAAATTTATGATAATTTCTRGGCAAATATTCTTTCACATTGACTGGTACTAATGTCATTGACATCAACTGGATATGCAGCAACCTTTTACTTTCATGGCAGAGAAGCTGAACTAGAATTTCACCTTGCCCATGTAAAGAAAAGTAAGATTTGATGAACTAAAAATATTAGTATTTTAGCTGTGTTTCACACTGTACCTCTGTTTCTGCTGCATGGGCTGTTGTCTCATGGCCATATATTGCATGTCCTCTTGTAGTCGATTAAGAGGAGAGTCTGGCTTGACACGAATCCCATAGTAATGATATTTGGAGTTCCCCCTTCATGAAAGAGCAAGAAAGAATTAAAAGAGCAGCAACACTAGTTTTACATACTAACATTACATTTACTTTACAATTTACATTGACTGGAAAATAATACATACAAATAATACACACACCTGCCTCTCCTGTCATACCTGTTTTACATGAGTGTCATTTTACTACCTCTGAGAAATTAATTCACTCTCTTAAAACAAGTATTATCAGAATATTAACTTGCATTTCACTTGAGTACAAAAAATAAAATGCAAATAAATACAACTTATCTAGTTATGGCARACAGTATTCTTAATGATTTCCAAATGCCAAGCTATGTTTTATTTGGAATGATAAAAGTCTGCAGTGTAGTTACCAAAATATAAACACGTAAATTGTCAAAAGCAGAAAAAACAAAAATGTAACAGCAACTTGAATAAACATAAAACTGTTTAACATGAAGAAACAGAACTGACAAAAGAACTCTGTAATATTTAACTGGTTTTATACAGGCTTTATGTATTCTTTTGCCTAGCAGACGAGTTAATTATTCATAATTATTACCTTTATTTTTATTATAATTCAGGATTTCAATTGCACAAACCTAGTTCCAAGTCTTCTGGTCCGCAGCCCCATGAAGATTGACCGTATGAGTTTTCCAAAGGAGGCAGCATTGACTGGATCCAACTTGTGCTCCTGACAATGTCGCAAGTAATGGTTGTAAAGGGTACTTCTTGGAAGGCTCACTCCTTCTGCAGTTTCGTAGTTGTCTAAAAGCCACTGAAGCTATATCACATACAAAACAGGAAAAAAAATAATTATACATTTCATTAAAAATATTGTAGCCATACAGCATTAACTTCTGACAGCTCTGGAACCACTCTCCAGGTCTATTAAAAAGTTACTTCCTTCYTCAGAGAGTCTTCGCTTGTAAGTTATAAATAAGGCTTTAGTGTCTTCAGAATGACCAGGAAACAGCAGAACTCACTGCACTTGTGAYCTCAGGAAAGTGTCCTTTTCTTAATATATTTCTGGTTCAGTACCACACATCAATACATGATAAAGGTATCCATGCTTTGGAAAAAAATTGTTAGTACCACAAAGAAATAAAGTAATCATGAAAGTAATACACATAAATCGCAGAAAACTCTTCGGACTAACAATAGTAGTTAATGTATTTGTAAACCTGGAATATTATGCTGTTTCTCTTTGCCTGTTACTAAAAAACAGTAAGACACACATAAGAAAAAAGCTGCTGCCTAAAAGTCCAAGAGCTACCTGGGTAATACTGAAAAAAACTGGTACATCTCTATTAATCATTAGGGATGCAAACCCTTTCAGCTGTAGCCTGTTGCCTTTGACTTCCAGAAAGAAAAGAATGAGTTTCTTGGAAAAATGGTAYTCTTTTTATGTAATTGTGGCAGATATTTAGAAACATGCAAGGAGATACTTAATATAACACTACTGGATGTTCTAAGTAAAGTACACTCATAGAACACCTTTGGGTGCTGCTAATAGAGAAAAAAAGTAAAAAGAACAATTTAATACCCCTAGATACAATATTACAGGAAAATGACAAAATATATCCAAATCAATATAGTTGAGAATACATTAAAATTCCATTTAGCTTTTTGATAAATTATTATTTTTGTTATTTTTCCCAATACCTGTCATGGATATCCTTAAATTTTCTCAGCTCTAGGAAAATACTGAAGTAAGGTGCAAATGCTTGGTTTGCAGGTAGTTTTGCATTTCAAACAAACAAAATGAAAAAGTATAGTTAATCATCACCTATCGTATCATTATTTCATATGTACTAACATTTACAAGTGCTTCCAAACTAAGCATCTGTCCTTTTGAAATAAAGCTGAAGAAAAGGTATAATTATAAACATTTAATTTTTGTGTGAATGTATTAAACTTACTTCACTAGTGACCTGATATAAGCCTGTCTTGGCTTACAAACAAAGGTAATTGTAAGTTTCAACAGCTGCAATCTATCCACATTTGAAATCTATTATTACATCTGTATTTTTATTAATATATTTATAAGACATTTATCATATATTGTTACATCTAGAATTGAATCAGAATGATACAGAATATGAAGTACTTCTGTTTTCCCCAAGGGGAAAAACTGTCAATCCTAAAAGACTGACAAACAAAAAATAATTATTTTGTAATTAAATTCTGTATGTAGCATTAAAGATACTTTCCTCCAGATGGTTTCTAATTTATTATTAATCACTTTGAGTGCACTTCATTAATTATATGAATTTCCAACAGATGTTTTTTCAAGCATAACTTGCATTATTCAACACACAAAAATCCCCAAATCAAAAGTTAAGTGCAATCTAAGAATTTTTGATCTTGGAAGGAATTACTTAGTAGCAAGACTTGAAATCATAACTTGATAGATTATAGACTGGAAGAAAAATTGCAGTTAATTCATTATTTTAAGAGAAAATTGAGCACAAACATTTTTCTACCAGGTTGAAATACAATTCTAAAATGGTTCAAGTTTGAGTCCTGGCTTTTAAATTKGGAATACTGACCATACACTATAAGTAAGATGGGGAAGAGTATGAAATACTTGAGTCAGACCTGTCAAATTGAGTGTGACTTCAATTAAGTGGAATGTTTATAAAACACTCAACTATCAATTAATTCAGTAAATTCATTTCATTGATGCAGAAATACATCAAGAAACAAAAGAAAATAGAGGAGAAATTACAAACTCCTTAAAATSACAGCTCATTAATTTAGGAAAGACCAAATCCTACTAAACCTCATTGAGGTATGACAGGGTGAAAATTTAAACCCAACCTAAAATTTTCCCAGAAATTAATTTATCATCTGCAAAGTGCAAGTAAATTAAACACACAATTTAGAATTTTATTTTCAAATCCATTAAGCCAATTATTTAAATAATTGTCAAACCCAACTATCAGAAGGCAAAGTCAAGGAAAGTTTAAAGAGATAAAGACTACATCTACATCATAAACTTCCTCTATACTATCCTTGAGTTTAATGACAGTAAGTATTGCTTTAAAAAGAAGCAAAATAGCCAGTATGCTTGATCTAGATTTTAAATTTCTTTCAAAATGACCAAAACTAGGAAAGACTTATTCAAGTCTACTCATACAAAAACGTGTACAAGGATTGCTTTAAATTTTGCTTTCCCCAGAGAGTCAAAGATACATCCCTATTGCACAATTTTTTCACGAAGAGTTCACATCAAGAAAGAAATATCATGRTAAGTCTTCACAGCTGGATGCAAATCTTATTAGGAAGACACTGTGAATAATGCCTAGAGGTAGGGATGAGTGAAACACAGTTTACTGCAGCTTATCTTGCAATTTTTCTTGGTTTTATACCAAGACTATGAACTTTAAGGTTTAAGCTGTTATCAGTAGTTCTGGTGTTCTAGGTCCTTCSGCAGATTTCTAAAACATTGTCAAAAAAAGTTACAATCTGTTTAAAAATGACATTTTAACAATGATTTTTATATTATCAGTCTAATACTACCTTCYATTATTTAAAGGATCGTTTTGATACTGTCTTATCGTAAAAATAATTATTTTGTAAACATACAAGGTGGAAACTAAATGTCCTTCCRCATATAATTTTGTATAACTTTTTTATAATATAGTTTTCCTATTCCAATTTTAGATTTTTTTTAAGAAAAAAAAATCTCCAGAAAGCATTTTTAATTCTAACTTTGATAAAACCAGATCCCTACAGGAAAAAATAACCAAAATCCAAACCCAAACCTTCTAAAAGATACATTGTCAATTTGATTTCCAAAGGACAATCTCTACCATCATATTCTACATTAAGACTGCAAACTAAATTGCAATTTATTCTGTAAAGCAGTAAGGGAATTTGAATTTATATAATAAGTAAAGCTGAGAAGGAAAAAAAAAGTAAGATGAATACAAACCAATCAACATGGCAAAAATACAAAATGCAAAACCATAAATACCAACAGAAAAAAAAAATTCAGAAAAGACTAACAACTTACAAAGTAATACTATTATTTGTATAAGATTAAAATTCACATGGGCTTCTCCCTTTATTTTAAAGTTACATATAATTAACTTATCACTATATTTGGAGATCATGCTTTTTCCCAAATCTTTTASCTTTGTTTGTGAAAAGTTCTTAACAGTGAGACTTGCAGAGTAAGAACAAAACAAAAGGCAGATGAGTAAGGTATTTCTGTGTACTTCAGATTAAGGCAATGCTTTCAGCTTTTACCAGGTCACTGTAAGGATCTTCAGGATTATGAAACAGGTAATTTTCAAATAAACTCTTTTGTCAGAAAAAGTGAAGAAATGCCTAGAAATAACCTAAATATATTATTTAGTATGCTGTTTGTTTCTTYTCTTCCCCTTCACATGCCCCAAAGTATAGTATACAGTACACAATTCTTACGCTGTAGACAACTTTATTTAAAAAGCCAAAAGTCAGCTAATTTAGAATTAATTGAACCTTAGCTTGACATTTACACTTGTAACCCGCAAAACAGTCAAAGTGTTAACTTGTCCTAACACAGGTGTAGAGCATAGGAAACAGGTAACACTCTGCAATATACCATAAAGACATTAAATCTGACAAAATAAAGCCATGGGAGGTGTAGTAAAAGATTACAAGCAACTAAGATGGGAAGATTAAGAGCAAAAAGTAATAATAAAATAAAACAAACATTTAGAGGCAAGCTAAGCATGCAGAACAAGCAAGAGAGAGTGTATGTGAAGAAGAGACAACTTACATGGCTGTTGAGAAGAGAGCTTCTGTGAGTGGACAGACCATCAGACTTTTGCAGTGTCTCAATCGCCATTTCAATCTGATAATAGATGTCATTAAAAAAAGGACTCAAGACGGGATAGTAAAAAAGCCTGATCAGAGAAGTTTTGACAGATTCCTTAYAGATAACAGAAATGCCTGCTTTATTCCTAGCTAGGGCGTATGTTTTATTAAAAGCCTCATTCTAGAGTCCCAGTGAACACAAACCTCCTCAATGAGGTCAGAAAGTTATTTTGCTTGTATATATATATATATATATATACTGCAGGATCACAGCCTCAAAGTTCATTTTACCTTCCAAACTGCACAGAATGAGCTCAAAGGAGTGGAATTACTGGTGAGCTGCATCGAAATAAAAATAACCCAGACTGAACAAAAATATCATTAAGTTAAAAAAAAATTAAATAAAATTCCTCAATAATTTAAAGAAAAGCCTCCATATGTTTTCCCTTCAATTAGATCAGGAAGAGACATGCAGAGCTTGCAATAAGAATTTAATTAGAAACAAGACTTTAACTCTCTGAAGTCACAGAATCAAATCCCAAACCAAGGTAATTCAATAGGTTTTACACCATTAGCTTCACTGGGACAGGACATCAACCCTTACTGCTGCCACCACCCTTTGAAGATCCCCAACTGTCAAGTAAATGGAAAGTCAGAAGTTACACAGACTGCAGGATCCAGCCTTTGGAAAAGCAGATTTGTTCACAATAATTTTGCTTTAAAAAGGAAAAGAAAACACAGCATAACTAAAATACAAAGTAGAATTTCTTCAAATGCAAATGTTTGATTACTCTCACATCCATTTTCTTTCTTTCTTAATAACAATGGATATTTTGATTTTGATCAGTTGGTAACAACAACATTAAAGAAAAAAAATCTAAGTGTAATTTAACTGGGGGACCAGAAGAGCAAAAACCAACAATGAAAATGACAGAGACAATGGAATGCACAGTAAGAAAAGGCACACAATTATTAGCTACAATAAATGCCCAAAATGAAAGCAATGAAAACCACCACTTACACTTTTAAAAAACACTTATCATTATCTCTGTAAATATTTTCTTTATCCTACTTCAAATATCACAGTACTAATCATAATTTTTGTGACACAATTTATCAATATCAGCTKAATTTACTCTCTGTATTGTAGAAACCGTAAACTACTACAGCTGATACTTGGATTTACCTGTAACATTAGTTTCTCCTTTTTTTTACTGGCATCTGACAAGTATTTTAATGTATTAGCTGTGAGAAGTAATTTCTTTTGACTGTAATATTAGCTTCGCAAATCTTTGGAAACRGGTACATTATTAAAAAAACACAATTATTATGTAAGGAAACACTCTTGCTTGGCAGTAATGGCAGTTTGACTTCTTCACTGACTTACTCCAGTGGACAATATTATGAGGTCAAAGTATTGACTCAACAGGAAAGATCAAATTTTAAAAGCACGCCACAAGATAAAAACTACAAGCTGAAAAGATCATCATAAGGTCAGCTTACTATATCCTACAGCCAGCGAATTTCCCTTCCTAGAAAATGCTACTATCAAACAGTGAAGACTGTATAGACATTTAAATCCTAAATCTGAACGTTATGTTACATATACCACAGTGCTTAATCCACAGCAGTATAGTATGCCAGGGTCACTCTGCCCACTGCKCATTCCAAACTACTGCCCTACTCTCATTTTCCGGCTGCAACTTGTGACCTTGTTTGTTCGGAGAACCAATCTGTTCCAAAGATGTAATGTCACTTAAAAAAAAATAAAAATAAAAGTGACATTACAGATAACACTCATTCCTCACTGACATATTCATTCAATGGCTTTTGGTGATAAAAGCAGGGGGTTTTGTAATTTGAGAGATTTTTATTGCTCTAGTTTCTTTCAGTAGATTTCAYAATTATGGCTATTGAAGGCACTTAATTTGTGTTCGCTGGATAACATAAGACAGGCAACACTGGTTACCATTAAAACATATTAATTATATTATCAAGCTTTGAAATGTGATTTATATTTAAAATGAGTCTCCACCATATTCTACTAGGACAAGCTTAAAGACAAATTGTTTTCACTATTAATTATTTTGTTCACCATTTCTAGCTTAAATTTTGGTAAAATGAACTTTCACCTTCATGTGACAGATAACTCTCCAGTGTCCTCTACAGAGCCCTCTTTGTACGTAGGTTATAAAATGACATCTTAACTATTTTTGAGCATAAAATATGATTGATTTGCAGACAGATTTTCTAAACACTAAATGATTCACTTGTCCTTTCTGAAAACTTCTGGCTACTTTTTGTTCTATTTTCTTGGTCCCCCATAGGGCTCAATTCTAGCGCCATTTCTGTTCATGTTTTATCAGTGATCCTGATACAGGAGTTGAATGCACCATTAGTAAGTTTGCTGATGATATCAAACTGGGAGATCCTGTTGACTCTCTTGACCCTCTTGAGACTCTTGCAACAGTTCTTGCATAGGGTGGGATCTGGATACAATGGAGCACTGGGCTATCACCAGTGACATGAAAATGACAAGTCAAAATGCCAGATTCAACACCTGGGATAGAGAAATGCCAGACACAATTATAAACTGCAAAAGGGGCAGCTCTGGGGGTGCAGGGGGCTCTGGGGGTGCTGGTCAGCAGCAGCTCTGGGGGTGCAGAGGGCTCTGGGGGTGCTGGTCAGCAGCAGCTCTGG